GGTGGACTTCAACTCCCAGAATTCCCCAGCCAGCAAGTTGCTGAGGTTGAGGAACCCTGTCCTAAATTATAGTTCAACTTCATTGCCACTATACTACATTGTTATGAACACCTGAAATGAGAGTGAAAAGCCATACCTCCATTTATCTTCTATTTTCCCATACCTCCTCTAATGTATGAGATATGTTTCATTGTTAAACACTGGCCATTGCCTCCCTCTGTTTGTCTACAACTTAAATCCATAATGATTAAAGTAATATACTTCATTAACAGACTCACACATCAAAAGACAAATGGAAACACTGGCACTTCCCTTGCTATTTTTGCAAGTGTTGAAGCAGGTTGTTCTGTTGAAAAGGTAGATTTTTCTCTTCCACTACAATTATGTCAAGAACGAAAAACAAGCTCCAACTTCATACATTCCTAGCCATGCTGTTAAGCCCATTGAAAGAAAGTGAGGGTGTATTAGCACATAGCTATGCTTTGGTAGAATTTCCATTCATTCCAGTATGAGTTCTGCAGGAGCTTATTCAATTGTATAGCACAGACTTTGCTTGCAGAAGACTCAAGATTCAGCCCCCAGTTAGAAAGATCAGGTAGCAGATGAAAGCTTTCCATCTAACGCTCTAGAAAGAACATCTGCCAATCAGAGTACACAACAGTAGTCTATACCAGTGTTTCCCACTTGGGCAACTTCCCGATCGTAGACTTCCATTCCCACAATTCTTTATAAAGGCCAAGCTGGCTGGGGAATTCTGGGAATTGAAGTCCACATGTCTGGAAGTTGCCATGTTGTCAAAAGACAACAGCTTCCTCTGCATCTAACTATTAATAAGGACTAGATCAATGTAGGATAGTGCTGAATATGACAAATGCTTCTTTTGAATTTGATACCTAAATATGTTAATTTCAGGTTGTCAGAATATACATCTAAGTGAAATATCGCACTCCAGAAAGACAGATCCACGTAGGGAAGTAGCATTTCATATAAGCAGCCAATTTGTGATGCCTATTTTGCTTTCACTAAATACACACATTTACACCAAGAGGTTATTAGCTGTTCTGGGTGCAGCAGTATGATAAAAGATTTCAGGGAATATTGTAAGTGAATGTGGGCACAATTGTTTATAGTAATGCAAAGGGTGAAAAAAGTAGACTAATAAAGTGGTATTTCTTTGCTGAAACAATGCTGAAGATACATAGGGCTTTGACAGGTTTAGCATATCATGTTAAAATATGATATATTTAACTGTCCTTCACTGAATAATTGACAACTGACTGGATTAACACAATGTTAGGACAAAACTCAAAAAGCCACAGCATTGTATATAAAATCAGCCAGTTAGGTGTTATTCAAAAAGCCATGTTTAATGTCACATCTGATGTGGCATCAACAATTTCTGCCATATTGCCAAGAAATATCACATAAAGGATTCTGTAATTTTGATTTATAAAAAACGTTCTAAAGTCGTGGAAGGTTGTCTTAAACAGACTCTCTAATGACACCTCTCAAATTATTTATTTCTCCCATCCAATATACCAGTTCATATTTTTAACAAAATGACCCAATGATGACCATTTTAGAGAAGCCTTAAGTATTTCCATTTCCATAAATGCAACTGGTTAATAAAATCAAAGGTGGAATAATTAAATCCACAGAAATGTCTTATAATTGCACTGAATGAAATATACTGATATCAGTGATTACCTAAAACACTAACCAACTCACTTGGTTCTAGTTCAGAATTGCATTCAATCCATCGCTCAAAGACCATGGCAGAATGGATCAAGAGAATCACATTATGTGCACATCAGATCCATCCAAACTGTTTCCACTACTCAAAAAGCATCAGAAATAATATTCTGAAAATGGGCAAGAAAATATTGCGACTCATTTGTTGAGTAAGAACCAGGCTGTGGCCAGGAACACCAGATGCTAGGTATCCATGGTGGAACTCAATCATCATGCAACAATCCAAAGGAGCAGACTGAGGGTGTTAAAGTAGGCTGTTTCTAGGAATATCAAGGCCGATTATCCTAGGGATAAAAAAATTAGATTCTTGACCCCTTCAGACCTGAGAGTGGGCAAACTTAAACCTTGGGTATTGGAGGAAGATAAAAACAGAAACACAGAGTTAAAAAAAAAAAATCCAAGCAGGGATACAACAAGGAAGGATCCCACTGAAAATGACTTCCCAAATCGAATCCAAGACTTCTGGGTGGATCTGATGCCACCAAACCAATTCGGAAAAAATCAGCCCACCTGCACCCCCTCTTTACAAGCGCAGGGTCCGCTCCCTGGAGCCTGCTCGCCCGGAATCTCTTTCTGGGTCGGCTGGCCGTCGCAATTTGGGGGTCTGGGTGTGCGACCCAGGCCGTACCTTTTCCTTTCCCGGTGGGGGCAGCGCCGCCACCGCCGCCCGCTCCGCCAGCAGCCGCGCAGGATGCCTGGGGATCCTTCCTGAGCCTCTTGCTTTGCGGCCGGACGCTGGACCTGAGGAAGTGATGCTGGTCGTGGCCGGGGGCCGGGCCACCAGAGGCCGGGGGCGAAGCCGGGCCACC